TCTCTCTCTCTCTCTCTCTCTCTCTCGCTCTCTCCCTCTTTCTCTCTCTCTCCCTTCCTCTTTCTCTAAATATCAATAAAAAAATATTTTTAAAAAAGCTTGTTCCATTAGATATTAGTTACCTTCACTTCTCTTCAATATTTTATTACGAAAAATTTCAAACATAAAAAAGATTAAACAATTTTACAGTAAACACTTATATGTTCACTACCTAGATTATACCATTAGTTATTTTTCCACATATCTATTTTCTATGCACCCATCAATTTATCTTTTTTTAATGCATTTTAAGGTAAGTTGCAGACATGAGCACACTTCCCCTAAAATTTTCAGCACTTCATTAATAAGAATTCAATTTGTTTCTTCCTTTTCTTATGAGGTAAAGTTTACATACAATGAAATGCACAAATGTTAATTGTACCTTCACTGAATTTTTACAAATACATAATCCTATGGAACATTACCTTTACCCCAGAAAGTTTCCTCATGCCCCTTCCCAGTCATACCTTCACTTTTGAGACTGGTACATGGAAGCTCCTATGGAAAAAGAAAAAGTAACTACTTTGAGAATAAATGAAACAAAACAACTATTGTATAATGCTAAATGTAACATGTATATCCCAAATGTACTCTACTTCTCTGGTAATTTATTCACCAACTTCACTATCTGGAGCAAGATTAGCCCAGTCCCTATATTAATATGCTTTACTTACAACAAGGCCCCAGGCTTACTAATTTTTCATGCAAATATAATTGTAACAATCTTTGTGGCCTGTCCTCCAAATGCACAGATTAGGTATTATAAATCTAAATGGAAAGAAGGGCTGCTAAAGGTAGGCAAAGCAAAGAGAAATAACTGCCTATTAAGGGTATATACAGACAAAACAATAAAAAATTGAAAATATGTAACAATCCGGTATCATTTAATGCAGGAGCAAACAACTCTACACACTTAAGAGCATTACTGAAAACCTAGCTGGACTGCAGCAAAGTGGGATTAGAGTACGTACACCTTTGGCATTCAAAGTTTTATTACTGTGGTTTGCATTGTGTGAATGGTCCCAAAGATCTATCACATGTAATTTTGTTGAAGCATGATCCTGAATAACATGAGGCTGGTGTGTGGGGAACAAGCCAGTCATTTGGGGTAGAGTGAACCTGGCTGGCTGTCCAACAACTACATTTGTATTTGGCTTTGATGCCATTTACAGGTTGCATTGTACTCAGAAATAAGTAAAATGATAAAAACATTAGTTCTTAGTGAAAATGACCCTGAAAATAAAAAAGGGCAACCACTAAAGTTGATAATAGAAGAGGTCAAAGAAATTGAAGCTTTTGGCTAGAAGATGTTTTAGATAAATTAATGAGTTGGCTAGGTTTGATGATACCAAAAAACTCCCTAATGCTCTCTAAAGATATAAAGCAAAGGTGACTCATCAAATTGCCTGAGTGAGTTTTCCAGTTAATGCTAATCCTGGGCTGTACAGAGGAAATGACATGCTGGAGTGGTATCTACAACTGTAGGGAAAGGCAGAGCTCCCATGAATCTCTATAATAAATATGAACTACTAATAAAAACTTAAGCACAGTATTCTTTGTAAAGAGGCAGTAACATATGCCATATATTTCTCAAAGACTCCCACCAAAGTGATTAAAACAACCTTTGAAGCTTTAAGAAATGTTTTACTTATCTAGAAAACTTACTTCCATGAAAAAGGTCATTCCATTACAAAAGACAATTCATGAAAAATCTACATTCATGAAAAATCTGGCTGGACAATGAGTTGATGATTACCAGCATTTCAGAGAGATTTTTTTTTTTTTACTTTGTCAAAGGGTTGAACAGAATTCATATATTGAGAGTGAATTTGTATAGCAATTTTACAATAAGGCTTTTATTTGCAAAAATTTACACATAGCTTTTTAAGAATACTCTCACTGCCATAGGGCCCACTATTAGAGGGAGTGAGGACACAGAGTGAATGAGAAGCAAAAAAAGGTGAGTGAAAAAAGGATTACTAGGAAGAAAGAAGCAAATCGACAGTAACCATTTTGAGCTCATGCGTCCCAACATTGCTTGTGATTCTTTGTCACAGAGAGCACCTCTGGACATTACTAAATCTGTGATTACTAAATCATAGCATCTCAGACTTCCAGTTGTATTTACAAAGCATAAAGTGGCCTTCTACCTGACATTCAGAACTCCTTTCTGCCCCTTGTATTCTGTGGTTTCTTTCAGGAAAAACAAACAAAAAACCTACAATGCTCACATAACTTTTGCAGGTAGACTGTGGTTTTACATTTTGTATTTTATTCTGAAACTTAACTATTAATGCATCTCCCAATTATGGATTATATCCTCAGAATCATTTTTAAGTCAGCTGATACCCAGACCTTGGGCTGTATTTAAGAAACAGAACCAACGGCTCAGAATTCTGTCTGCACCCCAGCCTGTGCTTTGCTGGGACGGGGCCGGCAGGCATTGAAATGACTAGCAGCAGGTCAGAGAGCAGGGTAGATCAACATTCAGTTTGTTCCTCAAGTTGATTACCCAAAGACTTCCACAGGAAGGCTTCCTGACTCTTCTGGTACAGACAGAGGAATGGGCACTAAGGCCTAATTTCAAAATGGTAAGACACCCTTTTTATAACACAAAGTCCAATTCAAACTGCCCAGGGTAGAAAGTAGACACACTGACTAAACTTGTCAACTTATAAAACAGTTGTATAATGAGTAACCGTGACCTTGAGAAGTCTGACTTCCGTTACTGGCTTCTGGGAGTTAATATTGAAGCCCTTGCAATATTATGCCAGATAGGAGTGTCATTGTTTGTCTGGGGCCTTGGGTCACAAGTAACTTGGGTTCTAGTCTAATAATATGATTTAGGGTCAGGATGGCCACACTGGATAGTCTTCGGGTGGGAGATGACCACACTGGAGAACCAATGATGTGATTTAGGGTGGGGGCTTTGGGCCACACAGTATTAGTAGACCTCTGGAAGGACTGGAGACTGAGATCAGCTACACTGGCAGTCAATCATGCCTATACAAAGGAACTTCAATAAAAGCTGGGGGAGCTTCCCTGTTTGGCAATACTCCACTGTACACACTGATGCTGAAAAAGTAACAATGTTCCAACTCCATGGGGAGAGGACAACTGGAAGCTTCACATTTGGTACTTTCTCTGACTCTGCCCTACATGCCTCTTCCTTTGCGTGATTTTAATCTGTATCCTTTTCCTGTAATATACTGTAACAATGACTATAACAGCTTTCACTGAATTCTGAGAGTCCTTCTAGTGAATTATCAAACCTTGAGGGTAGTCATGTGGACCATTCTAATTCAGCAGTTGTCTAAACTCTTGCAGTAGGTGTCAGAAGTGAGGGCGATCTTGTGGACTATGTTCCCTCTAACTTCTTAGTTAATTCTTTGCATCAGTGCTATTGTTGTTCTCTTCCAGCATCTAGCATTATCACACTTGATTTGCTGAGCTATACTTGTCTTATCCCCATGACTGGCCTCTGAGCTTTTATTGCCAATCCCCTCTCCACCCCAGATATCTATCCTACAACCATAGTAGGTGTCAGTATACACTGGCTAGACTAAACAAATCATACATAGTATGACAAGAATAAAACTGAGGTTATTTTGATCGCCCCCCTCTTCCATAATCACCAATTTAAAAGGCATTGGTGGCAAAAACTCTATCATTTTTTTAGGATTTACCTTTGTTCTGAAAGAGCATCTGCAGGAAATAACTGATGTGCGAGAGCATGGTCCACAGTCTCCTTCATGGCAGAGCTTTTCACAGGTATGAATGAAATCTTTAATAAAAATGAAAAGAGCTAGGAATGAAAATTGCAACAACTCATTGCAGATTCCCCCACTCATTAGCTACATTGGTCTTCTACCTCTGTTCCCTAAAACTCCAGAATTAGAGTTGAGGGAAGAAGGATATCATCAATGCTTTCCCCCCTATTTTCCCTTCATCCAGGAGGCTGAGCCTTTTCTAGCAAGGACAGAGTCCAGCAGTAGTCACTGGAATATGCTTTGGATTGCATGGTGCTTTGCCTAAGTAAAAGAACAGATCTGTTTTGCCCTGTGTGGCTCAGTTGGTTGAGCATTGTCCCATGTACTGAGAGGTCTTCCGTTTGATTCCTGGTCAGGGCATATGCCCGAGCTGTGGGTTTGATCCCAGGCAGGGGCAGTGCAGGGAGGCAGCCGATCAACGGTTTTCTCTCATCAACGTCTCTCTCATCTCTTCTAAAAATCAATAAAAAGAAATTTTTTTTAAAAAGAACACATCTCTTTCCTTATTTAGGCCCCAAGTCTCCAGGTTATACTTAAATCTCCTTAAAATTGTAGCCATGGATGATGTTACTAAAGTGCTCCTGACTGGAAATCATCCGAGAATCAAAAATGATAAGAAGCCATGATCTACAATCTCATAGACTCGAGCTCTGTGAACATCTGGTGATAGATGGCGTGCCATTCATGCAGTTAAGCAAGGTTTAGGACAATTCCTGTCTCAAGGACCCCTCATAGTCTCTTCAGTTTAATTGTATCTTTGATTCTAATGTCTATTTCCCGAAGGTAACATATAGTTGGATCTTGTTTTTGTTTAATCCATTCACGTTGTTATTATTGATATTTGGATATACGCCTGCCATTTCACTTACAGTTCTTTAAAAAAAATTTTTTTAAATATATTTTTATTGATTTCAGAGAGGAAGGGAGAGGGAGAGATAGAAACATCAATGATGAGAGAGAATCATTGATTGGCTGCTTCCTGCATGCCACACACTGGGGATGGAGCCTGCAACCCAGGCATGTCCTTTGACTGGGAATCAAACTGTGACCTAATGGTTCATAGGTCAATACTCAACCACTGAGCCATACCGCCAGGCAAGAGTTATTTTCTTAATGGTTATTTTAGGGCTTACCATATGTACCTTATCAGAATCTACTTCAGATTTAAATAACTAACCTAATTCCAGTGAGATATAGAAGGCTTATTCCTATATAACTATATTCCCTCTTCTCTTTTGTCATATTATTGTTAAACATAGGACAGCTATATGTTACAAACCCAATAATATACTGTTATTACTATTTATATATGTTATGGTCTATTAAAGAAGTTGAGAAAAGAGAACAGTATATATTTATAGTTTGTTATATTTATCTTATTAACCATTCCTGGTGTCCTTCATTTGTTCCTGTGAATCTGAGTTACCATCTGGTATCATTTCCTTACTCCAACACAACATTGATCCCACCCACCTCCTTTGTGCTGTTATTATCAGATATATTTCTACAAATAATCCAATTACATACATATTATTTTATACAACTGCTTTTTAAATAAGTTGAGAAAAGAACTTGGCATTCCCATTATATACTGTACTACAGGCCCGATGCAGGAAATTCGTGCAAGGGGCTCCGCCCTCGCAGCCACAGTGGCTTGCCTTGCCCTTGCAGCCCCAGCTTCCCCCGTAAGGACGTCTGGAGGGTCGTTCAGCTGTCCGGTCTAATTAGCATATTATGCTTTTATTATTATAGACTAGAGGCCCGATGCACCAAATTTGTACAAGAGTAACGCCTTCCTTCCCCTGGCTGCCAGCACCGGCTTCCCTCTGGTACCCGGGACCCGGGCTTCCCTCCAGTCCTGGCTTCGTCCGGAAGGATGTCCGGAATCACATCCAGAATGATGTCCAGTCTAATCGGCATATTACACTTTTATTATTATAGATATGTTGGTGTGCTTAAAAATGTCCCACATTTCTCTAAGGCACTGTTCATTTTTCTTCATTCTATTTTCTCTGTTCTTTGGATTAAACAATCTCTATCAATCTATATTCACATTCATTCATCCTTTCTTCTGCCAAGTCAAAAATACTGTTGAGCCCCTTTAATTAATTTTTCATCTTAATTACTGAACATCTCAACTCCAAATTTTCCATTTGGTTCTTCTTTATAATTTCCATTTCTATTGATATTCTCTATTTGATGAGACACTGTCTTTATACCTTCCTTTACTTCTTTAAGCATGGTTTCCTTTAGTTCCTTGAACATGATACCTTCATTTTTGTTAAATCTGACAAAGGTCACTCTCACAGAACACAGAAACTTTCTGTTGCCTGTGTCTTTTTCCATTTCTTTGCATACTTCATAATTTTTTGTGGCAACTCTGGATATTGCTTTCTTTCTCTCTCTCCATAGTATTTTTGTTGTTGTTTATCTATTTTGTGACTTGTCTAGGCGACTTTAGTGAAGTCTATTTCCCCTCTGGTATGATGTCCTTGGTGTCACCCTTTGGATGGCAGAGCCTGGGATGACAATGGTTTTAGCAGAGCTTTCTCTCTTTCTCTGATCACTCAGTTAAGTTGTCTGCCTCATTTGGTACTACCCTTACTCTTGAGACTCCACTAATTGCTGACTGGTTGCTCTATTCTTTTCAACAATGCCTTGAGGCATAAATTGCTCAGCATCTGATCCAAGGAAATTTGGGCAGGGGTAGTCTTTGAGGCAAGTCTATGAAGTTTGTTTGATCCCAGAGAGGCTCCTCTTTGCCATCTCTTCCCATTTTTTTTTTTTAAATTTTTTATGGTGAACTAGTTGGCCTACAGTTTAGCTTGCTGCTCTTAATTAAGAGGAGTTATTGTTTTCTAAAGGACCTTAGCCCTGAACTTTCCCCCACACTCTGTTTCAAATTGAAGTCAGTTCCTTTGGGGAGCACTTTGGAGCTTGCTTTCTTATAAACTGCCTCTTCCCCTGGGACGTGTAAGCCACTATTTTGGATACCAGATGGGATAGTAGTCTCTGGTTTTCTTTGCTTAATTCTCGTAGTGTTAAACCTCTGCCCTGCAAGTGAGCCAGGGTGAGGGTGACTGGGTCCAGTATTCTCACATATTGTGATTAGGGTAGAACATCCGACTCATGGGTAAAGCTATATGAAGGAAGGAAGCCCCCAATCTCTCAGCTGTGCTTACCCAAATTTTAGCCTCTTTAACCTGGAGTTAGAGGGCATGAGAAATGCAGTAGTCTGCTCCACCCAGTAAAAAACCCTTGATTGGGAGCTGAGGGCAGAGGAAGCCCTGTCTTCTTGAGCACACCCATCCTGAATGAAGCTTTTGTTAAGTGCTGAGCTGGGGGTGGGGGGAAAGGAAGAAGGAAATGGGTTGTGACTCAAATGACATAGATTCTTGCTGTTCTGAGTTTTAGTAGATTTTCTTCAATAAATATTTCTTAATTGACGTATGCCTGTAGAACAGTTTCCAGAGACTTTAAATGGTTGGGTTTTTTTAAATAGTTTTTGCCAGCTATGCTTATTTTGCTGGGGAGTGGGTCCAAGTAGCTGCTCATGCTACCATCCTGATAGCAGAATTCCACCTAGTCTCTTGTCTAAAGCTAAATGTCTAGACTGGAAATTTCCTCCGGTGAGATACTAAAAGACTTAAACAAGCTTTCTACAGATATGCCAGATCTGAATACATTTGATTTTGAGCTTCCCAATCCAACTCAACCTAGTTCCTTAAAAGTTTGTCATGATTAATTATCCTTGAATCCCTTGACCAGGTCAGTTCATACTAATAGTTACTATCCTTTTCTTGCTCAAGTCCCTTTGCTTTACTCATTTAATATTTAATCTTTCTCTCATTGCCAACAAGATATCTTAGCCTCCGAATAGGATTTCTGGTGATTACATATGAAATTCTTACAAAACTGACTCATGTGCTTTCTGAGAAGGGAAGATCTTTATCATCCTTCTTGATTTAAAAATCATTTGATCTCCATCTCTATCTCATAGGGCTTATCTGAAGATAAGCAGACAAGGAAACCAACAGACGTAGGTTCCAGCTGGTACAAGGAAGAAGTGTCTTCCCTCCCCCTTCCTCCCTCCCTTCGGAAAGAAGTTGCCAGGTCATTGCAAAACTGTGCACGTATATTTCCTAAAGACTGCCTCAGAAAGTCTCAGTTAGAAACTCAGACTAGTACTTTATAGCTAATTCCAAAAAGTCTTTTTTGGTTTCTGTATCCAAGTAATCAGAAGCCACAGGTCAGAAGAAAGGAAGAGCCACTAAAGGTAGGATAATCATTGACAAGAAAAACAACAAGAAGAAGTTTTAACAAAAGATAAAACAATTCAAACTGCTCATTGGTATGGGGAAATAGCCTGAGAAACCTCAGCAGTCTCTGAGGGCATCACTGTATTCAGCATAGTACAGTAACCGAGGTTCAGAAAAATGATGACTCTGGGTCAATAATGGGAAATAAATTTTCTTCAGTTACCTCTGTTTAAAGAAAGACGATAATTTTAGAAAAATGTCCATCTAAAATTATGCTCAGAAGTATTATCCTCAGCTAAATGGAAAACTTCGCTATAAAGAATGACATTTGAGTGGTCCAAATGGCTAACGCTTTAGTGTATTTAGAATTTTAGTTAAGATACTCCTATTATATGAAAATGCTTTTAAACATTGAACCCTGGATTAGTAAAAGTATATCTGGAGTTTGCTCCTCCCCCTCTCCCCCATAGAATAGTATCTTAACACAAGTGATCTGAGTTAGCAATAAAATACCCAAATCAGAAAGATAAATCACTTGGGCAAATGTGAATTTTCTTAACTATATTTTGAGGAGGAAAGGATATGTGCTCATATAAATTTGATCCTAATATTTAGAAAAACCTCTGATATTATAACTAGGATTCAAAATGATTTTGCTTAAGTAGTCATTGCTGCCAAACATTTACATTCATCTACTAGTTACCTGAGGAACCACAAGACAGAGGCTTGCCACACACTTTTCCACATGTAGGGACAGGATCCATGCACGTTTTCCGACCACTACTTCCAAGTTCTAGCAATTGGCTGAGAGGAGTTTGCCCACAAGGGCAATAGCGTACCAGGTGGGGGAGCCGTGGGCACGGCTGGCAGGGCTGAGGGTGGCACACCTGAGAACACATGTGGTTCCCACATTTCAAATCCCTGTTAAAAAACAACAACAGACTATTACACAATTGTTGCATAAAATACAGCTTTATTCTAACTGAGAAAAACATAAAAACCTTACTTGCCACATATCTTTAAACAGCCAAAATCCCCAAATCCATCGGACTTTCCTATGTCCGTTCCACATAACACATCTCGCGAGGTGTTGCCACAGTAGCATACTTTAGGACACAATTTCAAAAACATGAGATTAGTTACCTGTATGGGTTCTTAAAATATTCCAAATAATCTATAGGAAAACACAAAATACTATTCATTAGTGTTGATCAGACCTGATGCAGAAATGAATGTGGCTTACACAGCGGCTCTAAGTCCCACCTAAGAGCTTCATTATAGAAGGAAATAAAAAATTATGTGACACTCTTGTGCCTCTGCAGCATATCCTGAAAACAGTATTAAAGTGAAGCAAGTCTCTAAATTAAGCAACTAATATCTGGTCCATAAGGCCATAATTGAAAACCAAGAATTGTGAGCCGAGTTTGAAGTAATCATGTTCAAGTATTCACACTAAATCAAAATTTTCAATAATTTGAGACTTTTATTTGTTAGATAGGGAAACTAGTCTAACATCTATAGATTTTTCTGTGGGTTCAAGAAACAATGGATTCCTTTATTTATTGGGGTCAGCAATGAATGCGTTATGTTTAAGAGTTATGTTTCTGATGTATTAATAAGTAACAAAGTCTGATAAGAATTTTCATCAACTTACATAATTTTTCTAAGTGTCACTTTACATTTTCAATTTATAATGAAAATTTATCTCATTAAAATCAGTCTATGCAAGCCCTAGCTGGTTTTGTTCAGTGGATAGAGCGTTGGCCTGCGGACTGAAGGGTCCCCGGTTCAATATTGGTCAAGGGCACATGCCTGGGTTGCAGGCTTGATCCCCAGTAGGGGATGTGCAGGAGGCAGCCGATGAATGATTCTCTCTCATCATTGATGTTTCTATCTCTCTCCCTCTCCCTTCTTCTCTAAAATCAATAAAAATATATTTTTAAAATCAGTCTATGCAAATATACCAAACCCTATATAATAAATGCAGTCCAGAAGAGAAGAAAATAAATAGAAATTATGCAGATCTAATGACGCTTTCCTTCTTTCTCAGTATAGATATCTACTTACACAGAAAACCAACATCAGAATAAATATAACATTATAAAATCATAGCAAATCTTAAATGCATACATTTAGTAAAACATAAAATAGAATGCTTCTAACAAAACATCAGAAATAATACTCATAAAAACTGTATTAAAAAAAAATGTATCTTTGTCCAGCCAGAGTGGCTCAATGGTTGAATGTCCACCTACAAACCAGGAGGTCACGGTTGGATTCCTGATTAGGGCACATGTCTGGATTGCAGGCTCAATCCCCAGTGGGGGATCCACAGGAGGCAGCCGATCAATGATTCTCTCTCATCATTGATAAACTCACTCACTCTCTCTCTCTCTCCCTTCCTCTTTGAAATCAACAAAAATATATAAATAAAATAAAATCTACTGTCCAGCCCTGGCCAACTAGCTCAGTTGGTTAGAGCATTGTTTGGACATGCCAAGGTTTCAGGTTCAATCCCCAGTCAAGGCGCATACAAGCATCAACCAATGAATGCATAAATAAGTGGAACAACAAATCGATGTTTCTCTCTCTCCCTAAAAAAATAAAATTAAATTTATTGTCCAAATTCTATAAGACAATGACCTATACTGGTTTTATGAAACGAAAATAATGAAAACTATCTAAGCATTAATATATATCTCTAGTTCTCTCTGTCCAAGGCGCAAAGCTAACAGTCTTTGTGACTACAGGTTTGAGACGAATCCATGTCATCAAGAAAAGCATAAATAAGGCTCCAGAAAAGGACACAAGTATTGCTGGATGGTGTGTTCACCACTTACCTTGGTTCAGTATGATGCGGCAAGGCTGGCACTGACCCCCATGGCACAGCTCAGCACAGTGGTGCTGACCACAATTCAAAACATTCTCACATGGATTAGAACAGTGGACTGAGACAGCCTGACCACAGCGAACTGTGTGCCTGTAAAGACAGTAGGTGTAAAGACAGCATTGGTCTAATGTTGGACATTAAGTTCCTGTTTGACAGCTAAACTAGTACAAGCCCTCCCCCAAAAGCTACTAAACCTTTCTCTTGGCCCCGTTTCCCCCACTTTTTGTTTCCCTCCTCCAATCCTTATTTCCTTAATTACTCTGCCCTTCTTCACTTGCTTCTTTTTCCTCCTTTGCTTTCCTTATTTCGTCGAATGGTTCAAAAATGATTTTATGGTCTTCCTGGGCCTCAGAGACATTCCACAGTTATCTGTGATCCTTGCACTGACGATGCAGGAGAAATTATATTGTAATAAAAAAAGGAGAGGCTCTGGGGTCACTTATTATTTCATTCAACACTATTCACTGAAAACCTCCTAGATGCCAGATACTATGTCACTGTTAGAGATTTAAGACAATCAGTTGCCAGTGCTCAGCATCATGGCTAACATCAACCCCTTGAGGAAAACACTATCATCTCTACTTTATGGTAAGAGAACGAGGCTCAATGAGACGAAACAACTTGCCCAGGTCAACTAGTTAGTGGCAGAGCCCAGATATGACCTAGTCTTTCTGACCCAGATCCCTTGTATGTGACTCTCAGGCAACACTGTTACCCTCCTAAGTTTAGTAAACATTAAACAAATGCACATTATTGAAAATCTGCCTGATCCCATTTCGTCGAATGGTTCAAAAATGATTTTATGGTCTTCCTGGGCCTCAGAGACATTCCACAGTTATCTGTGATCCTTGCACTGACGATGCAGGAGAAATTATATTGTAATAAAAAAAGGAGAGGCTCTGGGGTCACTTATTATTTCATTCAACACTATTCACTGAAAACCTCCTAGATGCCAGATACTATGCCAGCCACAGGTAAATGGTTCCTGCCTTCTAGACCTAAAAAGGCCTGGGTTCAATTCTGGTTCTTTCACCCAGTAGAGAAGAAAAAGAAGTCCCTGTCACGTTGGCTTTTCTTACCAAAAAAAAAGTATTTTTATTGATTTCAGAGGGGAATAGAGAGGGAGAGACAGAAACATCAATGATGAAAGAGAATCATTAATCAGCCACTTCCTGCACACCCCCTACTAGGGATCGAGCCCGAAACCTGGGCATGTGTCCTGACCAGGAATTGAACCATGACCTCCCAGTTCATAGGGCAATGCTCAATCACTGAGCTGGGCTGTCACTAGGCTTTTCAATAAGTAATCTCACTGTGCATAGAACTTCATAATCATTTATAAGATTGCAGAACAGGATCGAGGCAGCAAAAAAAGTTACTATTTAGAGAAAAGTACTATTTATGCCTACATTTATTTATTAATGGTAGTAAATAAGTACTATTTACACCTACCCACTAATTTTTTATTTTAGAGATTCACACTGAAATGATCAATGAGGAAAAATAAGTCTTCTTTAGAGTACAATTCTAACTTTACCTGGTTCGTCCACATTCACATGTTTTAGTCGTAAAGGCGGGACAGGGTGGGCAAGGTCCAGGATGGCAGAGACTAAAAAAGAAAAACTTGGATGAATCAATCATACATATAAACCAAATCTGAACAAAGCTGCCTCAGCTGGCTCCCATTGTAATATGGCAACAAATGCATCTACTAAGAAATGTTTTAGTATTTGTCGAAAGTTGATTAAATTTAAACAAAGACAACAACGTTTTTATATAAAAAGAATTAACAGCATTATCATCTTTCTTGTCTAAAGTTGATTAAATTTAAACAAAGACAACAACAATGTTTTTATATAAAAAGAATTAACAGCATTATCATCTTTAGGATATTTAGCCAGAAAAGTAAAACCCAAGTCAAAATACTTGTTTTATTTGGGTCTGATAGTCAGAGATGACATTTCCAAATATGGTCTTGGTCCACTTAGTGCAGTGTGCAGGGATAAAAATTGCTTGCCATTCATTTGAATGGCACGATGGCCAATGGAGTCTTTTAGAACCTGAGCAACATAATAGAGCTCAGTTTATTAAGTCCATGAGAAGTACAGACATTTTCTCATCAGCTAGTGAAATAATAACCAGACAGTGGGCTAATGATAGAAACAGTTGACATGAGGGGAAGAAGCCAAAGAAAAAAAAGAAGCCAAAGAAAAAAAATTACAGAATGGAATTATATATTCAAATAAATACTGCCATCTTCAAAGCAGATAATCTGGGGATGTGCCCGCAACCAAGGTACATGCCCTTGACCGGAATCGAACCTGGGACCTTTCAGTCCACAGGCTGACGCTCTATCCACTGAACCAAACCGGTTAGGGCAGCCACCACACATCTTGATTGTAAGACCTCAGGTTCAACATTTACTCCTGCTCCATGCAGAAGTACCAAGATAACATTCTGATGTCTGTTTCACTCTTAGATTTCGGCAATATAAGCAAGAATTACCATTTTCTGACCACTTACCCCATGCCAGGCTCTGTACCAAGCCTCCTACGTGCATCAATTCATTTAATAATCATAACTCTATAAGTTCTACAAGTTCATATCATTATTATAGTACAGGCTCAGAGAAATTAAGTAACTTGTCTAACATCACATAACTGTTAAGTGACTCAAACCCAGGAACTAAGCCTTGGTCTGAGGTCAAAACTTGTAGAAAATGCATTGTAACTGATTAACTGTTTATTATTGCACATTTATCTTACTATTTAGACTGAATATGTTCTAAAGCTCTCTACTTATTGTAGGGAAGAGATTCACATCCTAAACATACTGCCAACAGGACCCTTCACAATTACCTTTCCCCAAACAGAACTCTGTCCTATATACTCTTTTTGACCTGGATATCAGTGGGGGATGTTTCGTCTTGGAAGCCAGCCGAGTAATATAGTGAGAGGAGCACTGGCTTTGGAAATACCAGCTCCATCATGTCCTAGCACAGTGACCTTGGGCAAGACATTTGGCCTTTCTGAGCCTCATCAGTAAAACAGAGATGACAAATATCTATATACATCACTGGACTGTTTGAAGGATTCAATGACTTAACTTTTACAGGATAAGTGCTCAGTAAATGATACTATATTGCCCTTTACTCCATCGTGTTACATGCTAACCAGATATGTACACTCAAAGCCATGAGCAAAATGTGTCCATCAAGAATCCCCGGGGAGCCCTAACCGGTTTGGCTCAGCGGATAGAGCATCGGCCTGCGGACTGAAGGGTCCCAGGTTCGATTCCAGTCAAGGGCATGTACCTTGGTTGCGGGCACATCCCCAGTAGAGGGTGTGCAGGAGGAAGCTGATGGATGTTTCTCTCTCATCGATGTTTCTAACTCTCTATCCCTCTCCCTTCCTCTCTGTAAAGGATCAATAAAAAAATATTAAAAAAAAAAAAAAAAGAATCCCCAGGGGTTTAGTATTCCAACTTACAGATTACAGGAATGTGGGCAGTCCTGTCCAGGCTGTTTCTTTCTACAAACTTCACCACAACTATGTGGGATTTCATTTCTGCTCCATTCAGGATTCTTTACCTTGCCTAAAACGTATCAGATCGAACAGTCAAATGGTACAAACTTCAAATGCATCCTAGTCTTTAATGAAATAATACAACATAGCTAGACAGCATGGAACATCAATGTGGTTTTCATTACTTCAATAAACATATTATCCCAAATCCTAAAATAACATGTTGAATATAATGCTATTAATCAAAAGCTTCACTGAGTATAAGTCTTAAATGGTGGATTACCTGGAAAAGATAAATACAAGGTTATTTTCACTTATAAAAATGCCCCTTTGACTAATGGACACATTTAATCCAAGAAAAACACCTACAAAATAAGCCTTCTATAAATGGGCCCTTGAATGAATATGGGAATATCTCTATAAGGGCCAAAAAAAAAGGGAATAAGGGAAGAGAGCAAAGGGGGCAGAGAGAAGCAGTAAGAGATGGAAAGAAGAGAAGTACCCTATTCTAAAGTAGGCATGAGGGGGCTATATTTTTATAATTAATGTCACTCCGCAAATGTTTAGTAAGCACCTTCCGTCAACTGAGCATAGAGGCAAGAAGAGTAAAACTGAGGCACAGGACTCCTCCTTGCCCTAGAGCAGGGGTGGGGAATGTCTGGCCCACGGGCCACATAAGGCCCACGAAATCATTTGGTCTGGCCCTGCCAAGGCATTAGGGGTGAGTTAATAAAATGTTTGACCAAATATAGCAGGCTACTTTTTAAGTTGATAATTTTGTATGGCCCACGAATGGTATTATAAATATCCAAATGGACCTTGGCAGAAAAAAGGTTCCCCACCCCTACCCTAGAGAAATTCTCTTGGACAATTTACACCCTATATCAGTGGTCACCAAACTTTCGGACCTCACCGGTTGGCGACCACTGCCCTAAATGACAGTCTGTCCCCAGTCCTTGGGCTCTGCATTTCTCTCTAGTCTCTTTCAAAACTCTGATTCATGCTGTGAGGTTTAATATAACTAAAGGCCAATGATCTCCAAATCTACATTTTCTGCATTGCCCTGAAGTCTCAAGTTTCAGTCCTACTTGTCCAACCATCTACTGAACATCCATACTTGGGGTTTCAAGTCACCTCAAACTGCCTACATCTGCAGCCAAAGTTAGCATCTTATCTTCCCTCTTACACCTCTCATTCCTTTTTTAAAACCTCTCATTCTTCAGTGTTCCCTTTTTCTGTCAGCAACAGCATCACTGTCAGAGTCACACATTGATTTTTAGAGAAAGAGGGAGGGAGGGAGACACATCGACTGGTTGCCTCCCTCATGTGCCCCATCTGAGTGACTGGGCCAGGATTGAACCTGCAATCCAGGTACATGAACTAGAACCTCAGACTCTTGGGTGTGTGGGCCGACACTCTAACTACTGAGCAACACTGGCCAGGGCGAACTGAGCTATTTAAAAACAGGAAGAGTATTCCGTAAAGAGGGAGGGCACAAGGATAGTTAGTAATGCTGGTCTATAGAAAAATCTCTCTACTATAAACATTAATGACTGATTCATTGGGTTAAAATAAAGTATACTTCAACACTACGTTCCTTATGCTGCTCAAATCTGGACTATCAAAGTTATTATAGCTAGAAGTGAGAAGAAGCCCATGTCTATACCTGCCTTTGCCATTTGATCAGCTCTAGTCTAAAGTGAAGACCAGGGAGAACTGCACCACAGCTTGGAAATAGCATGAGCCGAGGACAGGATGTAAAGACCCTTCTCCAGAATACTCTACCAAAGTCATAAAGGTCTGTGACTCTATGTGTTTGATGGACAACATGCATATGTCTAGTAGACCCCTGTAGCTTTGAAGTCTTATTAATAACTTCTAAAACATGCCTAACAGACCACCTCTCCTGGGCTGGGAACTGAAGTACAATGCATGAAGTGGATGCATTGTATGCAAAAAAAACTTACCACAGAAACAAGTGTAGGTATTAGGAACATGTGCAGAAACATTCTGACAGGCAGGGCACCGCCAACCACTCTGGCCATCTGCCAAAAAAGGGGGTTGAAAACAAAAATAATTTCCTTTAAAAAGCACACATAATTTTAAAAAATTTAAATCTATAAGAAGCTATAACATTGAAGCAGTGGTGGTAATTTCCATGTTAAGGATTTAGACATTAAAGAAACAAAATCACAATTCTGAATGCTTTGCTTAAATACTGTATTTAGGCTTATATTTATATATAAGGACTTTAGATACAATGAATCAAGTGGGTATTCATTTTGTTCTTTATTTAACTGAGATATAAATGACATATAACATTATGTGAGTTTAAGGTGTACAACATGTTGCTTTGATATGTTTACATACTGCAATATGATTACCACAATACAATTAGTGTTAGCAAATACCTCCATCTCATCACATAATTTTCATTTCTTTTTGTAGTGATAATGTTCTATTTCTCATTTTGTTAAAATTTATTTTAGAGAGAGAGAGAGAGAAGGGGGAGAAGAGAGAGAAAGAGAGAAAGAGAGCGAGCGAGAGAGAGAGAGAGAGAGAGACATAGATTTGTTGTTCCACTTATTCATGCACTCACTGGTTGCTTCTAATATGTGCCCTGACTGGAGTTTGAACCCACAACCTTGACATATTGGGATGAAGGTACAACTAACTGAGTAACCTGGCCAGGGCCTATTACAGTATTTCTAATGTCAAGGTAACCATTATCTGAATGTTGGCTTGAAAAAAAAGAAAAGGATAAAATATTTAAGTACATGCATGAAAGCCCAGATATCTTAAATTGGAAGAAGAGCCACAGTTCAGAAAGCATGTTATTAACATTTGCATTACCCATAAGTACTAGTATCCTTTGAGAAAAGCCCACAAAATACTATGGAGAAGATTTCTTAAAGGCAAAACAACTTTCAAGTATGAATTAAACAGAGGCTTTCTATAAATTTTCTAAAGCAAACTATACAAGAAATGTTTTCTATAGTTGCTACCTGGATAAAAACCACCATTTTCAGTAGACGTGACTGATTTTGTTTTACCTTAAATATATTTTAACATTGTTTTGTTTAGCTGGTTTGAGATCTACAGCTTAATACTGGCCATCTGAAATATATGATTGAGATAACATATTCTCCCTGCAGATAAAATATTCAAGAAGAATTAAATAGCGTTTTAAAAAGTGAATATATCAAACGGGTGAGAATAACTACTCAGAAGAGAGAAATGACTGACCTGCTTGAGATGCTGGAGACCTTGCCCATTTTTTAATGCAGTTCAAATGAAACACGTGGTAACAGCTCTGACAACTCCAGACTGGGGCCGTGACGCGAACCAATTCACAGCACACCATGCACTCATATTTTTCTGTAGTTAGTTGTTCAACTAGAGAACCTGTTTAAAAAACAAAACAGATAAACTCAAATATAGAAAACCAATCCTTACTTTAGTCAACCAAGGATCAGCAAAGCATTTGAAAGAACCCAAACACAGAGGTTTTAAGGGATGTCTGAATCTGTTCAGAGACAGGCCAAGAGGAGGCAGGAATATGCTGAGGTAGAAGATTTAGGAAGTAGGTATTCAGGTGGGAATTCCCACAATTGAGGAAACATTCCTAAGAAACGGCCCAGCAATGCCCCTCATCACACAACTTGAACATCCACAGGAGCAGCACACTGTAGGGCCCTGCCTTGCCCTACTTAAACTGGGGTGCTCTGAATCTACCAGACCCATGGATCAGGCTAGGATGGGGCTCTGAATGGTCAACTGCAAGAAATTGAAGCCTGGATAGCTTCCCAACAATCCATGGTGGTGAGATAGTTCTTGCCCTGAAAGTCTTTTTTTGATTCTCTCAATAAAGATATGCCTAGTGCCTATCACAAGCGCATAGTAGGGTTACTAGACACAAAGAGAAACAGTCCCTGGCATTAGAAGCTCGCCATCTGGTGAGAAAGACCAGTGTAAGGCATTATAAGAATCCTCTCAGACTTATTCCTCAATATCTTCACCCACTTCCAGACTTTTTCCTCAGCAAAAGTCTTTCTATCCCAAGTACAGTCAGGTGCTCTCAGAGATGAATGTATAAATATAAATATATATATTTTAGTTCATACTTTAGGCATTTATTTCACAATGTTATTTTGTTTTTAAGTCCAAATAGGTTATAAGGATAAAATAACCTTAAATTACCCAACCCAATGCTGTGTTAACGCACTTTATACATATTATTTAATTCTCTTAACAAGGTTAAAATATTAGTATCATTTTATAGATGAAGAAACCGAGGCTCAAAGTGATTAAAATCACTTACACAAGGTACAAAACTGAAATTAAAAAGCCAAAATTCAAATTCATTGCTATATGACCCAAAAGCTCACATTTTAATCCTTTAATGGTATTAGCTCTCCTAAGATTACTTTGTTTGTCCAATTTAATAACAAAAAAAATACAAACACCCCAGGACTGTATGCTCTGTAAGGCAGGGACAGTGCCTCGTCTGCCTTGCGCATTGTAGTACTCCCAGTTTCTGACATATACCAGGTGCTCAATAAATATTTGTCAGGTGACTGGATGAAGGAACAAATGAGTCAAGGAAGTTACATTTTTTTAAAAATACTCCATCTTTGCATCAAACTCAAAGGGAAGTTCAGCACAATTAAGGACTGAAATACACCTTTCCACTGGATGTGGCAATAGGAAGCCATTCATGACCTTACCAGCAGCTCTGAGTCACGTGGTGATGATGGCAGAGGAATTAGAAGTTAATGAAAATAGGGAAGGGGGGGGCGGAGAAAGGCAAACAACTCTTGATTTGATTGTAATGGAAGGATAGGAAACACTACAAGGGAGGTCATATAACAGGGTAAGTTTTTCTTGTGGAGGGTAGAACAGACTTGGGAAGATCTTCAGCTTGAGAACATGGAATTGTAAATGTGAAAAAACTGATGAAAGGAAATATAGGAGGAAAAAGTCTAGAGTAGTCTTAGATGAAAAGGAAGGACAGCTGACCAAAGTCATACAAGAGAAAATAGGCAGTCCTGAAAGCCAAATGAAGTTGGAGACCACTATTCAAAAATATTTATTAAGCCCTGGCCAGTGTGGCCCAGTTGGTTGAACATCGTCCCATGCACCAAAAGTCTGCCAGTTCAATTCCCTGTCAGGGCTCAGGTCCAGAGGGTTCAGTTCCCGGTCAGGGTGTGTATGGGAGGCAACCGATCGATGTTTCTCACATTGATGTTTCCTTCTCTCTCTCCCTTCCTTTCAATCTAAAATCAATAAAAGCATATCTTAAAAAAAAATTTACTAGAACCTACTATGTCAGGCACTCTTTTTTTTAACTTTTTTTTTATTGCTTAAAATATTACATTTTACTAGAACCTACTATGTCAGGCACTCTTCTTTTTAAACTTTTTTTTTATTGCTTAAAATATTACAAATAGTAGTACATTTGTCTCCTTTTTTTCCCCCTGACCTTCCCCCAGCCTCCCCTACCCCCCAGTGTCTTATGTCCACTGGTTATGCTTATATGCATGCATACAAGTCCTTCGGTTGATCTCTTACCCCCCTCCCTCCTGCCCCCCAACACTTCCCGGCCTTCCCGCTGCAGTTTGACAATCTGTTTGAGGCAGCTCTGCCTCTGTATCTATTATTGTTCAAGGATGTGCCTGCAACCAAGGTACATGCCCTTGACCGGAATCGAACCCGGGACCCTTCAGTCTGCAGGCCGACGCTCTATCCACTGAGCCAAACCAGTTAGGGCGACAGTCTGTTTAATGCTGCTCTGCCTTTGTATCTATTTTTGTTCATCAGTTTATAATGATCTTTATTATCCATAAATGAGTGAGATCATGTGGTATTTTTCTTTCACTGACTGGCTTATTTCACTTAGCATAATGCTCTCCAGTTCCATCCATGCTGTTGCAAATGGTAAGAATTCCTTCTTTTTTACAGCAGCATAGTATTCCATTGTGTATATGTACTCAGGCACTCTTTAGACATTTAGGATATCCAGTGAACAAAACAGACAAAAATCTTCTGCCCTATGAAGCTTATTATCTAGTGGGGGAAAGTAGACAATAAACAAATAAATTATGAAAATATGTAGCATCATCAAATAGTGATATGTTGCTATGGAGAAAAATAAACCAGGAAAGGAGGATAGGGAATGCTAACAGTGGGGGAAGTATGGTTTTAAACAAGGTGATCGTAGAGGCTTTCCTGAGAAGGCAAATTAATTGCAGCAGCACCAAATCTGTACTATTATGTAATTTCCTGGAACAGCATTCTGTTACCCAGGAAGAGGAAAGATAGATTGCACCATCAATCCAGGGATGTGATTCTACCAAACGGTTTGGCAGAAGGATAATACTTCAAATGACCTACGATAAGATCCGCCTAGAGAGGGAATACAGATGGGTAGGAGGCTGGCAAAACTGGTAGTGGGTGGAAGAAACTGAAGGAGCCAGAAGGACAGGAATCTATGGTCAGAGAGTGGAACATAGACTTTAATATTTCAGAGATGGGGCATTTCCAAGATTATTTCCCTGGTAGTGGGTATGGAGATGGAATGAAGGTCAAAGTCCCTGTGGTTAACAATATCAAAGAACTTGAAGATGGCACAATGCACATGATCACTAAAGTTACTCAGAATAACAGCAAGATATACGGTAAATTAGTTCACAAATTTGAACATGCCTTAGAATCACCTGGAGGCTTGTTAAAAGGTAAGACTGCTGGGTCCCAGAATTTGTTTAGTAAATCTGAGATGAGGCCCAAGAATATGCTTTTCTAACAAGTTCCCAGGTGTTGCTAATGGCTGCTAGTCTGGAATTACACTTTGAGAACCACTGTGGTAAAGAAAAGATGTAGCTAGAAGCATTAATGAGGGCTGGGAGACCTGGAGGCTAATAAATGATAAGATATGTCAGGTGATGTAGTTACAAGGTAATGTGGCATTAGGTTCAATGAAAGAAGGATTTTAAAACAAAGGTAGAAGAATGATTTAGTCTGTCTCCATCAACTACCTGCATTCCTTCAACAGCCTCCTAACTTGTCCCCTTGCTTCCTTAAAGCCTAATCTCCACACAGCAGGCTGAATGCTCATTTTAGAATGTTAGTAAGATCATGCCATCCCTTTTCCCAAAACCTTTAAGCTGCTTCTCATGTTCTTACTCAGAACCAGATCTAAGAGCCTCACATAATCCAGCTCACGTGATTTCTCTGATCTCCTCTCCTAACAGTTTCCCTACTACCTTCACTGCTCCCGATCCTGCCCTCCCACCCATCTAAACCTGTTTCTGCTTCTGCCTAGAATGCTCTTCTCCAAAGAGCCACAGGGTGCACTCCTTCACTTCTTTCTGGTCTCTCTTCAAATATCTCCTCATCAAAGAGACCAACCTTTCCTAAACTAGTGCCCCTGTTACACTGTCCTCTTAACCTGTTTTATATTTCTTTTTAGCTTATCACCTACCTGACAAATTAAAAATTTAAGTGCTTTCTACTTGTCTTCCCTACCAGAATGTAAATCCCATTAACACTGTATTTCTAGTATCTAGAACTGCTTGGCACACAGTATTTACTTGTAAATATGAATACAGTGTTCTCAAGAATATGTAGGGATGTGAGGCCAAGAAAGATTTGTTAGGCAGAACTCTAAGATGGCCTCCAAGACTCCCACCCTGGGGTATGCATTTCCTGTATAATCTCCACCCTTGAGTATGGTGGGCTGATCTAATCAGGAGAGTCCTTTTAAAATAGTCTAGAGATCAGAGACAGACATCAGAGAGGTTTGAAAAATCTATAGCAGATGCTTTCCTATAGGCCTTAAAGAAGTAAACTACCAAGTTGTGGAGAGGGCCCATGTGGTACAGATTAGCAGGTGGCCTCTAGGAGCTGAGAGTGACCCCCAGGCAATAGCCAGCAAGAAAATGGGGAGCTCAGTCCTACACACAAAAGGAACTAAATCCTACCAACAACCAGTGAGCATGAATGAGGCCCCTACACCTCAGATGAGATTGCATCCCTGGCCAAGTTTCAGTCCTGTGAGACTGAGTGAAGAACTCAGCTAACCTGGACCCAGACTCCTGATCCACAGGAACTGTGACATAATAAATTTGTGCTATCTTAAGCCACTACATTTGTGATAATGCATTATGAAACAACTAGAGGCACAGTGCATGAAATTTGTGCACGGGTACGGTCCCTACGCCTGGCCGGCGATCGGGGCCTTCCAGCTGCTGGCCAGGGCCTTCCTTGTTATGCACTGCCCCCTGGTGGTCAGCGCACGTCATAGCCAGCAATCGAACTCCCACAGGGACACTTTGCATATTAGCCTTTTATATATATAGAAGATAGGAGACCATTAACCAGCCTTACAAATTCAGAAACAACTCTGGTATAACATTGCCTGGCTTCACAAACAAGTCGAGGTCCCAAGAATGACTGCCTGGTGAAGCAAATTAGAACTAGAAGCACTATAGGCCAATGTGAAAACAGACTCAGGCAGGTGGTGGCTTCACATGTTAGGCTGTATGTCACATTAAACTGGAGGGAGATGAAAACTGTGAAGGTCCATGAAGCTATTTGGTCTAGGTCAGTGTTCGGCAAACCGCGGCTCGCGAGTCACACGTGGCTCTTTGGCGCCTTGAGTGTGGCTCTTCCACAAAATACCGGCTCTTCCACAAAATACCGACTTCTGCACGTGGGCCACGAAGTTTCAATCGCACTGTACAGGCGCGCCCGCACGTGGTATTTTGTGGAAGAGCCACACTCAAGGGACCAAAGAGTCGCATGTGGCTCCGGAGCCGCGGTTTGCCAACCACGGGTCTAGGTGAAATATATCCTCAGGGCAAAATGAGAAGTGTCTTCAAATATTACGAGAAGATGATTTGCAATGAGGGGGAGGGGAACGCTAAGGAAAGAGACTAGTTGCTGTGTAGCTTCAGAGGCCAGAACTTGAACCAGAGGATAGAAAGTATTTATAGTAAGGAAGTTTTCAGTTCAATGTAAGGAAGAACTTTCTAACAGTCAAAAAAGATACAGTCTCACCAGGCCAGCGTGTCAGTGGTTGAGCGTTAACCTATGAACCAGGAGGTCACGGATTTGATTCCCAGTCAGGGCACATGCTCGGGTTGCAGGCTCGATCCCCAATAGGGGTGTGCAGGAGGCAGCCAATCTATGATTCTCTTTCATCATTGATGTTTCTATCTCTCTCCCCCTCTCCCTTCCTCTCTGAAATCAATAAAAATATATAATACAGTTTCTGCTTCTAAGGAGCTTATAAATAAGTGAAGAGCACCGACACATAAACAAATGGTGGTTTTCAGTGTAACTGCTATAATAGAAGCATGCATATGTAAGGGAAAGACATATCACAGGGCTGGAAAAGATTTATTTTATCTGTAGAGGTGAGAAAAGGTTTCCTGGACATGTGACTAAACTAGCTTTTGAGAAATGAGTAAGAATTCACCAATGAGCTGAGTGGTAGACATTCTAGAGAGAGAGCCAAAACATGCAACATCATGAAAAGATAAAAAGATATAGAGTCCAGGGAATAAAATGTGATGGGCAGCAGAAAATGGGGTTGTTGGGTAAGGCAGAAGCCAAAATCTGTAGGTGATGAAAAAAAGTGAACAAAAGGGGGCGGGGTGGTGGTAGTGACACAATTCAATACGTGTTTTAGAAAAATAACTCTCTGATCCTAGTGTAAGAGATGAACTGAGAGAAACTGGAGATGGCGAGATTAGTTAGGAACACTTGCAGATGAGCAGACAAAAGATGATACAGGCCCTAACCGGTTTGGCTCAGTGGATAGAGCGTCGGCCTGCAGACTGAAAGGTCCCAGGTTCGATTCCGGTCAAGGGCATGTACCTTGGTTGCGGGCACATTCCCAGTAGGAGGTGTGCAGGAGGCAGCTGATCAAAGTTTCTAACTCTATCCCTCTCTCTTCCTCTCTGTAAAAAATCAATAAAATATATTAAAAAAAAAAAAAGGATGATACAGGCTGGAACCAGGAGAGGTAGTGGAGATATTATCATCCTCTACTTGTGCTTTCATAATTCAAAAAAATCTTGCACTGACAAACAAAATAGGTCCAGAGGCATGAAGGCATGAAACAGACTGACATATCACAGATGGGGGTAGAGGGGGTAGATAGGAAGAGATTAACCAAAGAACTTATATACATATATGCATAACCAATGGATACAGATAATAGTGTGGTGAAGGCCTGGTGGGGTGCGGCAAGGGCTGAGAAGAGGGGGGAAAGGGGAGAAAAATTGGGGGACATCTATAATACTGTCAACAATAAAATAAAATTAAAAAGTTTTAAAAAGCAATAAAGAAATATTCACCCATACAGAAGAAAAGAGAACACATAGAAGAATCAGTTGCTACATTTTATAATATTATGGTACACTGTGTAGTCTTCTGTCAGTATTTATTATCAGTTATTTAGTTTATGATAAGAAAATAACTTTTGATTACTCATTCTGTCTTGGACTGTATGAAGATCTATATTTTTATTATAAAATTTAATAAAGTAAAAAAATTCTTGCTACTAAATATCTATACCATCCATATATGCATTTTTCAAAACACTTACAAAATTCCTTATTTAAGAAAAAAATTCTGCCCTAACCGGTTTGGCTCAGTGGATAGATCATCGGCCTGCAGACTCAAGGGTCCCAGGTTTGATTCCGGCCAAGGGCATGTACCTTGGTTGCGGGCACATACCCAGTGGGGAGTGTGCAGGAGGCAGGTGATCGATGTCTCTCTCTCATCGATGTTTCTAACTCTCTATCCCTCTCCCCTTCTCTCTGTAAAAAATCAATAAAAATATATTTAAAAAAGAAAAAAAATTCCTTATTTGTATTTGCTTATGACATAAAAAGTAAGTAAATAGTTACATACTGGGGAGAGGAGAAGGTGGTGGCAGAATCCAGGCAGATGATGAACAAGGACAGAGAGAGACTTTTACACTGTGTACTTTTTTTTAACCAAACCTGAGGATATGGTTTTTTGTGTGTGTTTTTTAAAATATTTATTTATTTAATATATTTTTATTGCTTTCAGAGAGGAAGGGAGAGGAAGACAGAAACAGAAACAACAATGATGAGAGAGAATCCACTGATCAGCTGCCTCCTGCACGTCCCCCACTAGGGATTGAGCCCACAACTGGGGCATGTGCCCTGAACAGAATCAAACCGTGATCTCCTGGTTCATAGGTCGGCGCTCAACCACCGAGTCACACAGGTCGGGCTGTTTGTTTTTTCTAATTGATTTTAGAGAGAGAAGGGAGAGAAGGAGGCAGAGAGAGAGAGAGAAACATAAATCAGTTGCCTCTTATACACACCCCGACTGGGAATCAAGCCCACAATCTAGGTATGCGCCCTGACTGTGAATTGAACCCCCCACCTCTTGGTGTATGGGATGATGCTCCAACTAACTGAGCCACCTGTGTACCTTTTTATACTTTTTGACTTCTAAACTGTGTGAATATATTACCTATTCAAAAAGTTAAAATCGGAAAAACAAAACATTTCCTACCCATTTAGGTAGATTTACCTGTGTGTGTTTCCACATTCTTTAGCACGGGGTTCTGTTTGCCTCGTGGGAAAGATGCAACTTGAGGATCCTGCCTCCTTATAGCACATTTCTCTAGGTCAATCCTTCTGGAAGACTTGTTAACAACTGCCAAGTTCCCATTGCTGCAGGCAGATTTTGCTGGTCGTTCATTAAGATTATCCTTTGGAATGGGGGCCATGCTGTTTCTGGGCCCTGCACTTGTATGTCGTTGACCCTCCTGTTTTGGTGGATTCCTGCCTGGACGTGGCCTCGCCCCCTCCACTTCCCAGGGAGGCCTTTTCTGGGAGTGTCTTCTCTGTTCATTGCGTCTGGCCCCAGACCCATCCAGTACTCCTTTTCTAAAGGATGTATCTGAAGAGTCAGGGTGGATAACCCCCACAGGTTTGATATTTTCAGATCCGGCATCCTCGGGTTTGGGTGTCATTCTGTTACCCCACTCACATTTGAGTTTCCCCTTGACTTTTGGTCCTCTACCATAGCTATATACAAATTGGGCTGCTTTTTTTGGTTTTGCTCCCCTGGGATCTGCACCAACAATTTCCTTCTCACTTTCAGAAGGGCTGTGCTCTCTGAGCTTTGTCCCACTCTCTGATCTGGCCACACTTTCTAAGCCAGATACATCTGAGGTCTGGTCAGTTACACTTTGTACTCTCTTGACTTTGATATGCTGCTTTTCATTCCTCAATTTCTGTACAGGTTGATTCTGAAGGTTCTTGAGTGATTTATTAGAAGCAGAGGATTGGAAAGAAAGCTGTTGACTCTTAGGTTTGCTTCCTGAAGGATGGTAACTGTACTGATGAACAGCAGAGATGTCATCATAAGGGATTTGCCTGGAAAGGTGACACGGAGGTGGTGAACTGTAATTTCTTCTACCAATCCTATTAGAATCTAGTCTTCTTTGACTCCCACAGTGTAGACCAGATTTTTTCCTCTCCTGAGGAATGAACTCAGAAGCATCCGTATTGAATTTAAAAGTACCTAGGACACAAGAAACAGACATGCCAGGAAATTAATCAGTTAACCATGAAGCCCATCAGACCATAAGCCATATCTAAAAGTTATTTTCCTAAGGACTCTGTATAAAATGGGCTCTTAGTAAAACATGTTTCCTTTGAAGGTGTTGGGTTCAAGGTGTTGTAGAAGTCTGATCATTGCATGTCCAGTAGCTTCACCAATAGCCAGCGCTGAGACTTGCTAAGTAAAACTGCTCACCTGGGCCATCGGCATTATTTATACATGCATTTACTTTAACAAAAAATTTAAAGTCAGCAAATAGTTTAGGGATGAGACAACAGTCAGCAGGTTCCATGTCGTCTTTCGAAACTCTAATGCAGCATTGTGCAATATCAAGTGCACAGGCTTAGCAACCAGCCAAATCAGTTTGAAGTCTGGCCCTCTAACTTATGCTACAAGCTGAGGTATATCACTTGATTGCTTTTTGCCTAGTGTCCTCATCCATGACAAAAGATGATAATACTATTTTAAAGGGTTATTGTGAAATTTAAATATGATTTCACATAGATAGTACTTAGCATAGTAAGTACATTAGTTCTCATCTCTTCCCCCCAGGAATATATATTAGCTGTTCCATACATAACCTTTATAATATAGTCCAGAATCCCAGAGTCTCAAAAATTAAACATATGCCCTATTCATTTATTCCCCCCAAATGCTTCTTTGTATAGTCAGCTTAGTCTCATTTTATCTGGAGCACAAAGACAAAATGATTGCCTCAGGATACAAAACTAGTTAGTAGCCAAGTGAGAACTATATGTATCATATAGAATATACTATGAATTTATAGGGCCAAAGAGACATGGGCTTACTTATTGTCTTTATGGAAGTTATATAGCCCCCATTTTCTTATATGTAATGGAGATAATAATAATTCCTACATCAAAGAGTTGCTATGAAGAGTAAAGCAAATTAGTAACATGTAAAAGGTGGTTGAAATGGTGCTTTATTATAGCTGTTAGGATTACAGACTGAGACACACAGACCCAACCACAGATGGGCGAAGTTCACCGCCTGGGGGCTTTGGGTTTAATAATAATCCGGTTAGGTACTTTGTTAGGTACTTAACAGGTGTCAGGCACTATTTTAAGCACTTTGCATGTGTTAGCTCATTTAATTCTCCCTCACATTCCTGATGAGAAAACTGCTACACAGAAAGAGCAAGTAACTTGCCCAAGGCTACAAGGGTTTTCTAAAGTGGATTTAGAATTCCACCCCAGGCTATATGGTTCTGGAGACCATGCTCTTTCACTATCACCATACTACACTGTCAGAGGTTGGGCAGCTGGTACCATAGAAACATACACAAAAGAAGTGAACGAGATCATAAAGGTCATAGGGTAACCTCTCACTCAATCCAGAATTTGTTTTGAAAGCTTTCATGTAGGCAGAATTCTTGGGATGGGGTGGAGGGCCTTACAAAATGACAAAAGGATTAGACAAATTCAGAAACTGGCAGAGAAGGTGGGAATGGATAGATTAGACCAAGTGGGTATTGTGCAGTCCTTTCCTGCTTGAAGAAGTAAGGTCGGAGAGAGAGGCAGAAAAAGGGTCAGTAAATAACTGGTAAAAGATGGGAAGAGGGCGTTTCATGTTCAGCAGAAGGGAGTTGATGCAACTGGAGATTTTAGACAGGGCAGTACCTACTCATATACAGAATACGCTCCACTAGACATGATCCCGTAGGCAAAGCTCTCAGAAAGAGCCTTAAGAGACATAAGGGAAAAAGGGGCACATGAACCAGGAAACTGGACCTGAGACTCACACAGACCTGAAACACCCTTTCCCCCACACTATTTCAAGGAGCTGGAAGTCACTTAGTAAATGGTATTCTCATACCAAGGCATTGCTGTAGTGCAAGTGGTACCCTAGGTCCAAGATTACATGGCAGCACTGTAGGTGTCCACGGGTGGGTGGAGCAGAGTAAACTGGAGATTATAAAGTCCAGAGACAAAGCTGGCATAGGAGTCCGCACATGGGCAGAAAGATAGCCCCCAGGACTGGGCTGCTGTTTGAGAACAGAGGCAGGCAGGCAGGCAAGAGAACGAAACCTTGAGTGGGGATGGAGGTGTGGGTTAGAGATCATGCTGAAATAAGAACATGGAATAGAAACGAAGGCAAAAGCAAGCTCTGGCCAGTAAGAGGGAGTGGGGAGACCTTTGGAGTATGGACTTTGTCTCTCAGTAGATGGGGCGTTGGACGTTGTAACCTGGGGCACAACACTGTTGGCCGAAACTCTGACTCACAACTAGTCCCATCCAATTCTTCTCCAAACACTGAAATGCACACCGGAAGTGAGCCTGAGATCGTTGGGTCCATTTTAGAGGAGGTGGGAAAAGAATGGGTGGCGGAGTAACAAAGGCCAGCATGAAAGGTTCCCACCCACCAAGATGACTTAATGCCCAAATCAGGAATGGGGTACACCAATGCAGTGTGTTCTCCAACTCTCTGGCCAAGATCCACAGTAATAAATACATTTTATCTGCCATCCAGTACACAAATACATCTATACTCTTCTTAGTACCCTAACAGCTGGTAGATAGCAGAACTAAGACTCAAATCAACGACTGTTTACAAATTTCATGTTGCAAATTGTTTTTCAGAAAGAGTGGGGCCTGAAACCAAGTCAATGTAGTGGGTTGCGACAAGTAATTCTTCAAAAGAAATAGAAAATCGTGTACTGAGAAAGTAAGGAAATTTTTGTTTCTCTTTTATATTTATGTATGTGTGCACTGAGGTCTCGAAGTTTAATGTTTCTTCTCGGTTACTGTCCGAAAGTTTGCAAAACAAAGATCTAAGGTGCACTCTGAAGAAAATGGAAATGGATGGTACATTAATAGCCAAATGAGGCTGTCTCCATACACAGAGGTTAACTCCGGGAGAGGAAGTGAGCTAACAATTATGAAGCAGGTACAGCACAGGGCGGGAGCCCTCCCAGGAATTAACTTAATTACTCCCAACTGACGGGTGAAGAAGATGACTCAGGCACACCGCGAGTTCGTGAAGGCCGAGATTGGAAACCACAGGTGTTCGGCGCGCGCCCCCGCCGCTGCCCCGGGACTCGCGGATACACCTTACGCACAGCGTGCAAAGCCACTAGGCGTCGAAGGCCCGCCAGTCACTGACGCCTGCTTCTCGGAGATCAGTGCAGCCGCTGCCCGGGGAGGTACGGGACACCCACATCGCCGCGCTGGAACAAACCCGCTCTCCCTGGATACCCAGAGGCCGGGTTTCACGACCTAGTCGAGGATGGTCGAGGTCTCCGTAAGCACGACGCGCGCGCGGCTTGGCCCTTCCGAGCCACTATCCCCAACCCTAGTAGGCGCCATTCTCGCGATATGAATGGCCGAAGCCCTAGGACCCGTCCCTGACCAAACCTTCGCAACTAGAGAAGGGCCCACTCCCACACGGGCCAGAGCAGTACCTGAGACAGGAGGAGCCTCCGCCATCCCGTGCGTGCCGCAACACCTACAGCGAGCCCTGCAGCCCAGCAAGCGCTGTCACCCGGTCACGTGCCCTAGACTTCCGGCGCCGAGAGAACGTTCGCCTCAGCGCGCCGGGTAGACGGGCCACAGAGTTTGCGCGGCCCGAGTTAACTGTGTGGTGCGTCCCTGACGTCAGACAGTTGCGCCACGCTCGGGGCGGAAGGAGGAGTCAAAGTGACTATAGCTTGCAAGGAATATGGGCGTGGGGCGGGGGCGCGGGCACTTGCGTAATCATCGTTTTCGTTTTTAAGATTCACTGTGCTCACCTGCTACTATGCCCCTTGCTCTCCCACTCACCCAATTTCCCTTGGTCTTCTGAAGTCAGCTCGGACATCATCTAGAGTACACGTTAAAAAACACACAAAACTGCCCAGCTGGCCTGGCTCGGTGGTTGAGCGTGGACCCACGGTTCCATGTTCGCTTGGGTTGCCCGGATTATGGGCTGAATTCCCTGTGTGCGGCGTGCAGGAAGCAGCTGATCAACGATTCTCTTATTGATGTTTTTATTTCTCCCTCTCCTTTCCTCTCGTAAGTCAATACAAAATAAATAAATAAATATATATATATAAAATAAAACAAAATTAAGTGGTCAAAAGGCAATCTTGGGACAAACGATCTGCAAAACAACGGGTAATATACAAAAAGCTCTTACAAATCAGAAAACGATAAACCACGTTAGAAATGGTGAACGGGGCAGATGACAACACATAGGAGAGATACAACATGAGGGGGAAAGTTTGGAGGCGCTGATAGTTTTTAAAGTATAAAATATAAAAACTTAAGTGAATGTGTGGAGTGTTTGTTTTGTTGTTGCATTACAGAATAGAGCACAATATTTAAGTGTGAAGCATCTACATTTGTAAAGTAATTCACTGGCCCAGGCTTTCATGAGAATGGGAAATGGATTCATTCATTCACACACATTTTAATGCGTATTCTGTCTCAGTCAGGCATCACTTAAAGTGCTAGAGGTAAATGGTGAGAAAATATAAACATGGTACCTGCCCTCATGAAAAGCATTGTCTAGTAGGGGAGATAGCCCTGACCGGTTTGGCTCAGTGGATGGAGCATCAGCCTGCGGACTCAAGGGTCCCGGATTCGATTCTGGTCAAAGGCATGTACCTTGGTTGCGGGCACATCTCCAGTAGGGAGTGTGCAGGAGGCAGCTGATCGATGTTTCTAACTCTCTATCCCTCTCCCTTCCTCTCTGTAAAAAATCAATAAAATATAAAAAAAATAGTAGGGGAGATAAATGTAAATTTTTTTGGCTTTACAGTTGTGAGCACACAAAACATAGTTTATTCTTGTATGATTATTTATTAATAATAATTATTTGCCCACCCCTGTATTTAATTATCCAAATATCTGGAAGATAATGAAAAAAAACATTGTTGTTACCCAAACAAACCTAGTATACAGCTTATGAATGCAATACTAAAAACCCTATATTCTTTTTTTTTTTAATTTTAATTTTTTTTTTTGCTAAAAGTATTACAAAGGGTATTACATATGTGTCCTTTTTTCCCCCCCGCCCTTGACAATCCCCTGCCCTCCCTTACCCCCTAGTGTCTTATGTCCATTAGTTATGCTTATATGCATGCATACAAGTCCTTCGAAAAACCCTATATTCTTTCTACCTCCGTCTTCTAATTCACTGATTGGATCCTCAGCTTCCCTTAATCTGCTGTGTATTCCTTCCAGTGTGTTCTTTATTTGTGTTAGGTCATTCTTTATTTCTGTTTTCATAGTTACTATATCTTTTCTCATGCTGTTGAGCATCTTTACCATCATTACTCTGAACTGTGTTTCAGATAAATTTGTATTTCATATCTCTTCTTCTGGAGAATTCTCTTGTTCTTTCATTTGGAGGTTGTTTCTTTGTCTCCTCATTTTGGCTGCCTGCTTGGGTTTGTGACTATGTATTAGGTAGATCTGCTACGCCTCTCAATCTCTAGTGCGGGACAGTGTCAAACGCTGTTTCTCTAAAAAGTAAATTTTAATGTGAATCAGCGACCTCTTATTCTTGGGTCAACCACTGAACCACACTGGCCGGGCAAAAACTAAGTAGTTTATATTTACAAATTAACATTTGTAAAATAACTACAAATTATGTTGTTGTTATGAAAGAAACTAACAGAGTAACAGTAATAAAGACTTACTAGGATCTGTTTCAGAAAAATGTGGCCAGCGCTGGTCGGGTAACTCAGTTGTTGGGAGTGTCATCCTGATATACCAAGATTGCGGATTCCATCTCCAGTCGGGCACATACAAGATTCAACCAATGAATGCATAAATAAGTGGAACAACAAAAAGTAATGTTTCCCTCTCTATCTTAAAATCAATAAATAAATAAGAGAGAGAGAGAGAGAATGTGGCTAGGATTCTTTCAGTAGAACAAAGGATGAGAAAAAGAAAGCTATGTGAAGATTCAGAGGGAATAGCATATGCAAAATCTATGAGGAAGGAAAGAGCTTGAAGTCTTCAAGGTATTAAAATATTTGCTGGAGAACAGTGAGAAAGAGAGGGACACAGTATGAAATTGCAGAGGTGGTTAAGGAGATAATGCAGATCACCCGAAGGCCATGCTGATGAATTTTATCCCAAGAGCGATAGGAAGGCTCTAAGCAAAGATACACTTAACGGATTTCTCTTGCTCCTAGGGGAAGAGTGAATTGTGGGAGCAAGAATAGAAGTGGGCAGACGAGTTACATTTTTGTATTATGCAAATGCAGAATATGATGGTGGCCTTGACTAGAGTGACAGCAAATGTGGAGAAAAAAGGAAAGATCTCAAGTATATTTCAGATATAACTATTATAGTTTCCAAACTTTTTCCAAACAATAGGTGCTCTCATTATTTTGTGTTTCTGATTACTGAGCCTCACATTTCTTAATGACATTTATGTTTCCTCTTTTTAAATTGCTTATTCATATCCATTGCTCATTTTCCTATTTTGTTTCTGATTAGTAATGAGCCTGACATTGCTTAATGACATTTGTTTCCTCTTTTTAAATTGCTTATTCATTTCCATTGCTCATTGCTCTATTTTTCTTGCTGATGGTTTCTTGTATATGATAGATATCAATTCCTTGTCAGCTTTAGACATTTCAATTTTTATCTTCCATGAAGTCTGTTAATTTTGACAGATCAGTTCATCAAACAAACGTGTTATCATCTTTAGAAATTACCAATTTTATAAGTCTGGGTCCATTCAGGAGAGAAGAACTGCACAGTAATTTGAACAGGAGAGGAATTATTTATTTAAGGACATATTAACTATAACAGGGGACTGGAGTAATAAAGATTGGCTAATAATCAAAAGAGCTGGTGTGGCTCAGTGGCCTGCACACCAAAGGGTTGTAAGTTCAATTCCCAGTCAAGGGCACGAACCTGAGTTGCAGGTTCGATCCCAACTCCAGTTGGGGTGTGTGTGTGTGGAAGGCAACCAATCAATATATCTCTCTCATACTGATGTTTCTCACTCTTTCTCTCTCCTCCTTCCCTTCCATCCTCTCTAAAAATCAATGGAAAAATATCCCCCAGTGAGAATTAACTAACTAAATAAATAAAAGAATCAAAAGAGAACTCTAAAAGAATACAGGATTAGCAATATAAGGAATAGCCCCTACCTCTAAGGTTGATTGAGATAGTGTCCAATAAAGATCACCCCAGAACGGAGGTGCAGACCTTTTAGAGAAGACGTTCCTGTGGCTCACTAGGGGGCAGGAAGCCACTGCGGTGCTGTCCTGGCAGAAGTTGCCAGAAATCTGCCTGGCCAGTGTGGTTCAGAATTGACCTATGAACCAGGAGGACAAGGTTTGATTCTGGGTCAGGGCACATGCCCAGGTTGAGGGCTTGATCCCTAGTAGAGGGTGTGCAGGAGGCAGCTGATCAATGATTCCCACTCATCATTGATGTTTCTCTTTTTCTCCTTCTCTAAAAAAAACA